TTCCCAACGTTTTTTATTTATTTTTGGGACAGAGAGAGACAGAGCATGAACGGGGGAGGGGCAGAGAGAGAGGGAGACACAGAATTGGACAGGCTCCAGGCTCTGAGCCATCAGCCCAGAGCCCGACGCGGGGCTCGAACTCGCGGACCGCGAGATCGTGACCTGGCTGAAGTCGGACGCTTAACCGACTGCGCCACCCAGGCGCCCCCTGATTGTTCTTGATAAACATCTGGGAATAGGGCTCTTCTCATGAGCAAGCCCTGACTTGGGTCAAGGAAAAAGCCCCGCGAATGGTCTTTTCTGGGGAGTAGCCATGCAGGTCAGACTGTTTTCTGGGGATGGGGCTTTTTGGGGAGTTTCGATCCTGATCTCTCTCCAGAGGCTACTCTTACAGGGCTCTTAGTTTCAAAACTGCAGCTCTGGGGAGAAAGGGGGTAGAAATAGGTCACATTAACATGTCACAAAACTTGTTCTTACTGGGGTTATCAGTTATTTTTCTTGCATAAATGCCCTTGCTGTTAGAGTTCTTACAAGTCTGGTTAATTTCCAGAGTTCTGAAAAGTTTATTTTGACGGCTGTTGCCAGTGTTCTTGTTGCTTTTATGGAGGAACGGGTGTTCGGCGATCCTTGCTGTACCATTCTGGAAGTGCTTTTCCTCTTTTTGATACAGGTGGTAGCGCAGCACACATTCTTGTACCTAATGTTCCTTGGAGACTGCTCCACGTTGGCATCAGAAGTATTCTTCATTGTTGTTTTTATGCCTACATAGCATTCCTTCATGTGACCTTGATTTATTTAACTGCTTTTTTTTTTTTTTTTTTCAACGTTTTTTTTTATTTTTGGGACAGAGATAGAGCATGAAACGGGGAGGCAGAGGGAGACACAGAATCGGAAACAGGCTCCAGGCTCTGAGCCATCAGCCCAGAGCCTGACGCGGGGCTCGAACTCACGGACCGTGAGATCGTGACCTGGCTGAAGCCGGACGCTTAACCGACTGCGCCACCCAGGCGCCCCTAACTGCTTTTTTATCAATGGATTTTAGGGTTATTTACAGACTGTTGCTACAGTAAATTAAATGATTTTGTGCTTCTGTCATTTTGCATGCTTAGGAATCTATCTGTAGGATAAATTCCTAGAAACAAAATTGACGGGTGACAGCAGACGTCTGTTTGTAATTTTGATAGATCTTGCTGAAAATTCCTCCCTGAAGGCCAGATCCATCTGCAATGCCATCAGCAGTGCATGGAAGTGGGACTGACCTGGTCTTGACACAGAGGGCTGTGAGCCAGATCCAGGTCGATGTGGAGCTTTGATGTATATAACTTTAAGATCTTGGTCTGCAAATAAATTCTGAGATTATTTAACCCAAGGGGAATATTTAACTGACCTAGGATTTAAATTTTTCTGGAATGGTATGTCTACTCTGTAAAGAATTACATGGATCCCCTACCATGTGCTAGACACAATGTCTGGGGCTGGGGATCCACAGATGAAGACATGTTTTTATTCTCAAGGGACTTAGTCCCTCCACCACATTGTAATTATCTCTAATATTAAAAAATGCTTAGATCTTGAAAAAAATCATAAATTTAATATTCTGAGACTATGTCCTAATGAATAGTTTTTCTTCTATTGAAATATAAGAGTTAGTCTGAATTTTTGGTCAGTGTGGTTTTAGTCCCAGGCATTTGCTAGAAAATCAGAAGTGCCAAATAACCAGTGGTTCCTAACTCTTTTGGCTTGACCCTGCCTCAGAAGGAACTGTTCAAAGGGCTACAGTTCTATCCTGAAACGTCCAGATTTTCTTTAAGTAGTTTCCAAGTCATGCCAAGAACAAATCAAAGTACCATAATTAGATTTTTTTTTTTTTTCTCCACTGCCTTACTAATTAGATGGCAGGCACCTTCCTTCTGAGACTATATGGTGTCTCTGTAAGAAGTTGCTTATTCCTGTGGTTGGAAATGGTTCCGGTTCCTTTGAACAAGAGGCAGAAATAATGCTGTTGCTTTCCTGCTGTTGCCAGGCATGTGTGGAAAATCAACAGTTAGTCTTTGGTTGTCTCTTGGCTTATAAAATGATCTTTTTATGCAGACTGCTTTGGCAGGTCAGAATGTAGAAGCCCAGCTTGGCTGAATATGATTCACTGCAGGCCTCATTGCCCTGGTCTGTTTAGCAGAGCAAGAAATGAAACTCTTTGCAAACAAAACAAAAACAAAAAAACATAAAATTGGCATGGTAGATCATTGGTCATTAATGGATACAGAGATAGAAGATTGCCCACTTGGCCTAGAATGATGAGTATTTTCTTTCATTCCATTAACCTGACATCCCAAATGGCCTTCCTTGAGCCATCCTTCTTCCCCAGGGCATTGAGTATCTTCTCACTTGCTTTATGATGGGCCCCTGTGGACACATTTTATAATTTCATCTCCATTACAAACAGGCTTAATGTAATTCTCCTAGTTGGAATTTATTTTTTTTGTCTTCCATATCTTAAAGCCACACGACTAGAGATGAATATAAACCTTCATTTCAAGATGCTGAAATCTGAGTAATCTCAGATTTTTCTGCTGTACACACCTAGCACAGGAGGGTTCTGGCTTTCTGGGCATGTTATCTGGAATCTTGACAGAATTGCACAAGGAGGCCAGACAATGACTTGAAAAACTTCACAATGAACTGATCACTTATCTAATTATCTCTACTCACCTCTCTGTTTCACTGTAGAGCAGGAATCAGCAAACTTCTGTTAAGGTCCAGATAGTAAATATTTTTGGCATTGTGGGCTATATGGTTGTCTCAACCATTCAACTATTGTTGTAGTATGAAAGCCGAACAACCAGTGCAAAACCAGATGGGCATGGCTGTGTTCCAATAAAACTTTATTTATAAAACCAGGGCATCTGTCCAGATTTGGCCTTCAAGCTTGCTCTAGAGTCTCTCCTCCCCCAGTAGGTGTCTTTGCTTCTCATTTGTTTTCAATTATGAGCATTGACAAAGAGATTCTGGTAGTTGGACCAATAATTGAAGAAAAAATCAACTAACTTGGCCCCTTCCAAAGAGAAGGATTTAAATATCAAGGATTAAGATGGGCCTCTGGGAAAACCAGCGACTCTCTCAAACATTTCTGAAGAAATGACTGATTTTACTGCAAAAGTCCAACATTGATGGAAAGTATGTCATCGAGCATATTAGCATACAATTTCGCTGCAAAAATTAGAGCAAGATAAATCAGTATGTGATTCATACTTGGCTCATTCTTAGAATCAGCCTGTAATTCCAATTGTAATTTAGATTTTAAAAATAACGAGGATAAATTTACTTGCCTGATTTCTACTTTTATTTTCTGAGATAAAGTTCCAATCAATCAAAACATGTTCTCCAAGTAATATTCTCCATAAAATGTGCCCATGTTAAGTCGGTTCCCTTTTCCTGGCTCTAATTATACTGAGATGAGGAGGACTGAGTACTTTTTCTGCTCGTTGGGGTGGGAAGGAATTAACTCTCAGTTCTGTTTCTGGATCTCCCTTCTTCAGAGAGGTGGTTAGGGCCGTACCTGCTGAAATCTTCATTCGAAATATCCAGGCCGGGCTCGGGGGAGGGTTGGATTGGCCATACAAAAAGGCCCCAGTGTTTTCTATTGTTTGGTTATTAACTGTCAATCTTCAGGGCCAGGGCCGTGTTTTGAGCAACTGTACTGTTTTTGTCCTGCTCAGTTTTCTAATTCTGTCAGGCCTGATCCCTCTCACATCAGTATTGGGTGCCACAAAGATGCTTGGAAAGCCACCTGGAAGGAGAGGTGACCAAACACCAGGCCGACGAGTGAGACAGAATTGGCAGATGTGTACAGGCTTTCTCAAAATTGCTCCCTTGCATCAAGGGCCTTTGAGCAGCCTCCTCCCCTAAATGAAGACTTCCTTCTGTGCCTTATAGATTCTGCAAAATACTTAGGTCAGTAGGATACTGGGTGGGGATTAGGATGTCAAACTGACCTGTGTCGGAATCCCAGTTCTGCATCTCCCTAGCTCAGGCCAGGCACTCAGCCTCCCTGTCTCCACATCGCCTCTGCTGTGAGGGTCATGCCTGCTCTTAGCTTGTGGAGCTGTCATGACAATGTAATGAGTCAAAGCACATAAAGAGCTTAGCACAGGGTCTGGCATTAAAAACCTGCACTGAGACCAGGAAGCTTGATTTTCTTTTGTTGTCCTCTTTCTCTTCCTGTCCTATCAAAAGAAAACAAAAAGCCTGAAGAACTCCTGGTGGGATTGGGACCTGGGGGTTGCTCAGAGGAAGAAAATGCCCCTTTGAGGTTGTGACTTCTCATTTCGCACCTCCCTTTCCTGTTGCCCGCAGCCCCAACAAGCGAGGCCCGCCAACATACAACGAGCACATCACCAAGCGTGTGGCCTCTAGCCCGGCGCCACCGGAAGGCCCCAGCCACCCACGAGAGCCAAGCACACCCCACCGCTACCGAGAGGGGCGGACAGAGCTGCGCAGGGACAAGTCTCCTGGCCGCCCCCTGGAGCGAGAGAAGTCCCCAGGCCGGATGCTCAGCACGCGGAGGGAACGCTCACCTGGGAGGCTGTTTGAAGACAGCAGCCGGGGCCGGCTGCCTGCGGGAGCCGTGAGGACCCCACTGTCCCAGGTCAACAAGGTGAGGCACCATCCGGAGAGGCCAGAGGAGTGACCTGAGGAGCTGAGGGCCCTTTGGGGCCACTGTTGTAAAAAGGAGACTCTGTTATTATTAATTCAGATTTTTTTAGGACATGGTAAAAAGTTTAGGAAGAAAATGTATTTAAGAAGAGGCCTTTCTAAGCAAATGGATAGTGCATACATGTGTACCTCAAAATGGAATAGCTACCCTAAGGTATATCATTCGCTTCCCCAGAGGCAACCAGTGTTCGCAGTTTCTAGAGATACTCTATGCACATAAGCAAATATCTATGTGTATCCTCCCTTCTTAAACACAAATGATAGCCTACTATACAAAACGTTTATGTCTTATTTTTTTCAGGCACATCTACAAATACGTACCTCAAGAATTTTTTGGAAGGCTACACAGAAACTGGTTAACAGTGGTTGCCCCCTAGAACTTTGAGCTTTTTGAAATCTTTAAATCATACACGTTATTATCTGTGTAATTTTAGGTTAGCAATTGAGATGGAGGGATGTGTTGAAGGAAAGGGGGCCCCGACGAGCAGGGGGAGGCTCAAGTACTTGATGCCTCCTCGGTAGGCTTGGTTCCAGGGACCCCTCTGGACAGCACAGCCACCTTTCTGTCCTTGGGGGCTGGTTTTCTAGATCACATTCTCCCAAGGCCACCTGCAGTTGGCTCTTGGGACCCCTGCTGATAAAGAGAGGAGGAAAGGCCGTTCAGTGTTTTTTCTTCTCCCCTCTGATTTACCGATAAAATGGGGGCTTGTGTGTGTGTGTGTGTGTGTGTGTGTGTGTGTAACAGAGATCCATCCACAGCTTTGGAGAATTTTCTGTGAATGTCATTCCCTGATGAACCCCAAGCTCAGAGCTGGAGCCGTACTGTGGAGCACTCCCTGTTAACAGCTGCAGGGAGGCCGGGTGGTGCACACTACCTCCTGGGATCAGGCAGGGGGAGCACAGGCATTTTTGGCCCCCTCAGCTAAAACCCCCTCCTTATTTTGCTCCTAGGTCTGGGACCAGTCTTCAGTATAAATCTCAGCCAGAAAAACCAACTCCTCATCTTAATCTGCAGGAAAACCCCAAACACTCTAAGGAACTTTGCTGAAGGGGACCCCAGCCCCCATCTGCTCAGCCACCCCACGGCACAGCTGGGTCCAGACCCACCTCAGTGTGGACGCCCTGCAGCCAGGTGGTGCCGGGCTGAGGCTCTCGGGAGCCGTCAGCACCTTCCTGCAGTCACCCTCTGTGCACTTTCTCTTTCAGAGCATTCACAAACTTTTATACCTGGCTCTAGCCTGTACCAGTTCATCAAAGGAAACCAACCTGCGCTAACTACAACGTGGTTAGAATCCTATTTAATAGCTACTTTAAGATCCTAGGGTTGGTTGGTTTTCTTTTTTTTTTTTTTTTTTAAAGACAACAGAATTCTTAATAGATTTGAATAGCAATGTATTTCCTGTCGTAGTCATTTTTAGCTAGATCACACCATCAGGTCTTTGCTACGGAAACGTATTGTAGAAGAGTCCCCGCCAGTTGGCTAACCTCCTGCACTCATGTAGGTTCATTCTTGTTCCAGTCCATCCTCACAGATGGCCCTGTTTTACCCAGGGTGACATCTTAGCCAAATGTTTACTGTTCTCATTGCCTTTTATGGCCTTGACGACTTCCCCTCCCACCAGCTGAGAATGTACGGAGGTCATCAGGCCTCAGCTCGGAGGCAGTGACTTGGGGCCAAGGAACCTCGAGGAGCTCTCCCTCCCCGCCCCTCAGCGTCATCTCCCCAGCCTGCTGTCCCTGCTTTCCATGTAGCTTTGGCCAGGAAAGCATGCAATAGACTTGCTCGGAGCCCAGCATTGATGAGTCTCTGGGCCCGGGAGAGGACCGGGGGGCCATCCACCTCCTGTCCGCGACAGCGCGTCGTTCCCCACCCTGGGATGGGAAGAGACCCGTCCGGGAGTTCTGCATGGCGGTTTCACTGCATGTGCTGCCCCCTGACCTGGCTGCCCCCCTGGGTTGCTCTGCCAATGTACTAGTACCATACCATCGCTCCCGCTGAATCGAGACCCTCTGACCACTTGCCAATTCACTGGCCACAAAAAGCTGCAGTCTGTAGCACTGAACAAACAAAAAACCAAACGCTCAAGCCTTACGACCAGAGAAGGATTTCAGCAAACCACCACCTCACACCTTCACGCTTCCCTGCCGCCTCCCTCGTGGATGACTCCGTGTTCACACAAAATCCAGCACAGTTCTACCCCACGAAACTGTGACTTCCCAAGTGAGCCTTTCCCTAGGGCTAGACTAAGACGAGGAAGTTGGAGAGAGCCGCGGCCCCTCTTCCACCTCTGCTGAGGTCAGGAGGTCCTCCTTAGGTGCAGTGCTGCTCACATGGTTTCTCTCTGCCCGCTACCAGAATGCGAAATTCCTGGCAACTGGTAAAGAACCAACCTAGAGGCTTTGCAGTTGGCAAGCTAACAGCGGCCTTACTTCTGCCTTTAATCTCCCACAAGGCATCTCTTGCTTCTGATTCTCCATGACTCTTAGGCATGCCTCGAACAACCAAGGCACATCCTAGGTAGGCTGAAAGGTAGACCTGTTTCCACCACTGCAGGGGAACATGACCACGTTTCAACCCACGTCAGATCACTTTCCAGATTGCAACCTGGCCCAAATCCCAGCTCCTTCCTGCTCGTCTCTTAACCTAAGTGCTTTCTTGTTCGAAACGCCTATGTCCCTCCCTCCACATTATTGCACCCTTGGCAGGTGTCATGCTGTTGTGTTTTATGTGTCGCTTGGAGTCTTTGGGGTCACACTGCATCCCCTCCCTCCCCCAGGGCAGATCAGACTGAATGTTTGCTGAAGTTTTTGTCTCTTGGTCCATAAGTATTTGGAAAGGTCACTGAAAACTGGTCTTTCAGTCTTGGCATTTCATTTAGGATCTCCATGAGAAATGGGGCTTCTTGAGCCCTGAAGGTGTATATTGTGTGTCTCATTTGTGAAAAATGCTTCCTGCTATAGAACTAGCTCAAAAGACTGTACATATTTACAAAAAACTTTATATTCGTAAAAAAAAAAAAAAAGGAAATTGAATTGGTTTCTACTTTTTTATTGTAAAAGGTGCATTTTTCAACACTTACTTTTGGTTTCAACGGTGGTAGTTGTGGACAGCCACCTTCACTGGAGGGTGGGGAGCTCCGTGGGACCACCAAGATGCCAGCAGGAAATACCGTACCACGAAATTGCAGTCAAAAGCTTATTAGCATACGTAAGATTCTAGGTCTCCAAAAGTACAGGCTTTTTCTTCATTACCTTTTTTATTCAGGATGAGGAAAAGAACACAAGGAACAATTCAAGATCCACCTTGAGAGGAATGAACTTTGTTGTTAAACAATAGTGAAATAAAGCAATGATCTAAAATGTTTGCTTTTGTGCAACGACCTCTTCTTTTCTTGAGAGACCATAAAAGTCCTCAGTATTGCCATTGTCAGCATGGGCTTGTTACTGTGGCGTGGGACCTTGCTTCCCTCTCAAGGAGGCTTTTTTCTGGGGTCGGGGGAGCAACACAGAGGCCGGAGCACACTGCTCTTCTGGAGTCAAGAGCCCGGTAGCAGTCTTTCCCAAGAGCAAGACCTTGTTGGAAGTTTGGTCACTATTTCCAGTGAACCATAAACTGGCTGTTAGGTCACTTTATAGGACTGCAGAACAGGAAAGGTCCTTATGCAAACAGGCCATTTTGAAAGGATTACTTGAGGATGGATTACCTAATTTTCCCATAATGCAGCTAAGCAGGAAAACAGGTCACTTTAAAACTTCTCTCCATTATAAGGTCGTGGGGGAGTTTTTAAAAATTTTTTTGACAGAGAAAGAACGAGAACAAGCAGGGTAGGGGTAGAGAGAGGGAGACACAGAATCCGAAGCAGGCTCTGAGCTGTCAGCACAGAGCCCGATGCAGGGCTCAAACCCACAGTGAGATCGTGACCTGAGCCAAAGTTGGACGTTCAACCGACTGAGCCACCCAGGCGCCCCGGTCGTGGGGAATTTAATGATGTAGATTTATTTCCTTGGGGGGGGGGGTTTGGATCAAGATAATTTAAAATGTAAATACTTCTATTTTTAACTGGATGGATTTTTAGTCTGTGAGGTAAATTTTTCCCATGATTGTTAGTACAAACTCTGCTTGATCCAAACATCAGTTTTGGCAAATGGTGAATTTTTTCATGGTTCCTGTTGCTTTCTACTCTTCGATTTTTACTTTCCAATGAAAGTATCTGACCACAGTCACAATCGGACTGGGAGGGCCGTATCTGACATGCTTCTTACAGGGACTGTACCTGCAAATCTGTTTTCTACTTTACTGTTGGAGATAAAAATCTGCCAAAGGTCATAACTATAAGAATGAAAATGACTCAGAAGATGAATAAAATGTCAGAACATTTCTTTACTTATAATACTGGGGAAAGTCCATTAAACACCAACCATTTCAATTAATGTCCTGAGAATTCTTGGCAGCCAAGGAATACTTTCTAAGTAAATACGGTTTGGTTCCAAAAGGAATGTGCCAGAAAGGTTCTTTGGACCCTAAGGAATGACTTCAAAGAACTAACAAATCACTCAGCCACACCATGAAATGAGGCCCAACCTTCCACGGGGCCACCACTCCTGTTTCTTAAGCACAAAATCAGACACCACGTTTTCTGTGCTTAATTTTCATGAGACTAAAGACACTGATTGTACAGCAAATTTCATAACCGTGAAACTAGGTTTTGGAGACTTAGGCCAAAAAGAGATAATTTGCTTAATGGGACTGAAATTCGTCTTCAGAAAACTTGGGCCTCTTGAATCAGATTTGCTTTAGAAGACATCCATGCAGATTTAAGTCTAAAGCATTAAGGCTACGCCTAGGAGCAGCTAAGCTTCCACTTGCAATACAACAGCTGAATAGGCCTGTCCCAGTGGTTCTAAACCACTGAACTTTGCTCCCCTCCCCTAAGAACATCTGACAAAAGTCTGGAGACCTTTTTGATGGTCACGATTGGCATCTAGTGGGTAGAGGCTAGGGATGCTGCTGAATGTCCTACAACAGGGCAACCCCTACCCCCGAAAAGAATTATATCAGGTCCAAGTGTCAATAGTGCCAAGGTTGAGAAACCTTGGCCTGTTCTAGTCAGATTTCTCTCCGGGCAGTTTAAATATTTCTTATGATGTCTACACCATGGAGACTGGGGCTCCAGGCACACAATGTTTGTATGAGAAAAATGTTTCATCACTTGCCTAATCAAATATTGGCTTTATTTTCCAAAGCTGGGGAGGGTTGGGCTAGTGGAAATATAGTACAGTGTTGATCACTTGGCTTTCCTTTATCAATGATTAATGGAACTAAAGGGCTTGTTGGAGGTAGAAGAACAAACTTTGAAAATGACTCCACTACTATAAGCAACTCAGGTGGTCTTTCCAAGAACCACAAAAAGGAAAGCTAAGGGTGACCTAGGGTACTCACAATTTTCCAGATGAGATGGGTGAATTCACACAAAGGTGGTAGAAAAGGCAGCAGTGAGGGCTGACATCTTCATCCAGGCAAAGGCCCTTTAGTGGTGCTGAGGACGAAAAAGATGAGGACTGGGAGCTGACCCAGAGACAGGGTGGGCCCCACAGATTGGACTCTGGCTGCTCCAGCTTTTGGGATCCTCTCCAAGGGTCTGACAACAGTGATGACTCTCAGGAAGGCCCTACAGATGTTACTACAACAGCTGGGATGACTTAGGTTTCAGAAGAAATGCGTGTGTGTTCCTAACTTCCTTATTTTCTCCTGAAGACAATTAGCATTGGTCTTCCAGGTCAGAAGGCTCTGGCTTGTTCCTCCACTAATTTGCTGATCAAGAGAGGTGCTAAGGGGGGGGGGGGGGGGGGGGGGGGGGGGGGGGGGGGGGAGGATTTCTCAGAAGCTGGATAAAGATTTGAGTGGTCCATAGACTTGGATCCTCATCAATTCATTCAAACTGTAAACACTGGTGGAGAATCGGGTATTGGGAGAACTGAACACGTTTGGAAATGAAACTGTTCATCTAAAAATAATGGGAGGTGAACCAAATGGCATTTTATTCTTCCCTAAAGTGGCTGTCTCTGACCTCAGCCATGGATGAGATTACTGATGTTCTGGGTTTTTAATCCTGGTCTTTGGAGTTTGGAAATTACCTAATTAAGCGAGTTGAGGGGGCTGGCATTTTTGCTTTTCCAGCCTCTTAACTTCCTGTTTGTGGCCACATCCCATCCACGTCGTAAAGGCTTTGTGGCTCCCAGTGTGGAAAGAGCCCTAGGATCATCTAGTGCTAGTCCAATCCCTCTCATTTTTCAGGAGAGGAAGTCAAGCTAAGAGAGGCCATGTGATCTGCCCAAGGTCATACAGCTAGTCAGCAACTGAACTGGATCAACATCCCTAATTTCATTAGGGAGGGGACAGTGGGAGAATGGCCAACTTTAATGTGAAGTCAGGGTTTGACCTGGTTTCGGAGTGCTACTGACTTCCATTATTTACACCCATAAGCAAAGCTGGAGGAAGGAAAGGGCTTTGCCTGGGTCCTTTAATCTCTGGTTTCTGTATTTTGACATACGATTCTAATGACCCATACCATTTTACTTACATGTTAGTAATTTAAAGGCCTTACCTTTGGCTCTATAAATTTCACTTGTACATAGATTTCCGGGAGGAAAAATACATCTTCACTCAAAAGCAATTTGGGTTAAGCTTTAACCACGTAACCAGTCCTCACCCGTAATGGGAATGCTAATAAAGCATTGCCTGCCTCGGTCATAGGACACTTCACTTCTACATTTGGCTTTGCCTCTGTGATCTGGGGTCTCCTCTGACCCTGTGATTTCACATCCATGAAATAATTTCCCTTACCTCTAGCTTCTCGGGTATTGAGGATTTCACTTGGGTCTGTGAGCAGTCTTTCAAACCATAGGAGACTTCCTTTGTGTTGCCTTTTAAAGAAAATGGAAGTCTTAGATACACAAACTGCTGTAGAGAATGCGGATACCTTGGTCCCATGGAGTGGCTATGCCTGCATCCTTCCACCACAGTGGTGGTCTCTCTTGGGGGGGGGGGGGTCTCCTGTGGCCTCTGGGCTGCAGAGAGCTCTCACAGGGTTTACTGGTTCCCAATTAGTTTTTACAGTGGATTTTTAAGTTCTTACTGTTTCCCCCTGCGGCCTGGGGCTGATGGCTTCCTCTGAGCTCTGACTCTGACTCAGGCTAGCAGCCAGGTTCTCTAATCCCTCTCACAGAAAGGGCAGTGCCCTCCTGGGCCAACTCATGCAGGCCCCCACCAGCACCCTCCCTCAGTCCCCACCAGGGCATAGGGTCTGTGCTCACAGCTCACCAAGTTTCTTTTCTGGTACTTGAATAGATCGCTTTTATACTTTTGAGCTTAGGTAAATTTTTTCCATTGTATTTTAAAAGTACTTTATCCAGTTTTGGAAAGAGGATTTTTACATGTTTCCACAGTCTACTTAAAATCCCTATAGTCCCCAAAATCTAGGGTTCCCACATCACTTGGATTTTCAGGGTGAGACAGCCAGTTACCCAGGTAGGAGTGCTTTCTAGGCCACTCTCCACCTCAAGTAAACCAAATGACCTAGAAGTTCCCTTTTCTCATACGTTTATTTAAATACTTCCTGGCACTTGGGAAGGAAAGGCTTATTACAATGTCATCTGTAATCTTCCGTCTTGTTTGGCAGAGCAAACAGAGCTCCTTTTAGCTGATGAGAACGCTGATTCCAGAATGTCCTGGCGTCTTCCAAGGGTGTCCAGATCCCAGGCTCCTGTGGTGGTGCTCACTGATAAGCAAGAGGTGGCAAGACCTTTGACCTGGAGATGCCATCAACCTGCCCAAACTGGGAACCTTCACTGTTGCCTCTCCTCAGTCTCCCCTCAAAACTGAGTGGCTCAAAGGAACGCAGTTTTACAGGCTTCTTAACAGCCTTCCAAATTCTGCGTGCAAAACCCATAGGTCAAGGGAATGGTCCTCAGTCCTGGGGGCAGCCAGAGCCGCCCTGTCACTCACCCCAGAGTACCACGAGGATGGTACCATTTTCAATGAGCGCAAGACGTGACAAAGATTGAAAAGCACCTCACCGAGTAAACCTCGGAAGCGTTCCAGTCTTTTCTCCAAATGACTGAGTAAAATCAAAGCTTCCTCCAAGCCTGCGTCCCGTTATCTTTACAAAGCTTTATTGAAACCTGTACGTCAAGGTGACAATAATTCAGTGTTTGGAAAGCAGTGACAACAAAAAAGGGTATCCCAGACTCAGGTTTACCAAATAAATACTGGCAACCAGGGAGCTTGTTCCTCCGTCTCCCAGCAAGAACACAGGGCAGAACCATAGCTTCTGCTGACTTGAGGACAGGAACCTGCACTAATGGGCACGTCTGCAGCATCTCCCCGGAAACCACGCCGAGTGTGAAGAGGTTTGCTTTGGTCCAAAGAATGTCTTCTCGACATGAATTTAGAAGGCTGCTGTCAAGTTCTAAGTTCCTCCCAGAATAAACGACAGCAACTGCTACAGCCTTCGTTGCTAAGTAAAGACAGAGGTCCTGAGCAAGTTGGCATAGGGTAGGGTGCTCCTCCCAAGTTTTCATGGTAATACTGTCCCCTCATTGCGATTAGAGTAAAAAGCTGGACAACCTTCCAGCTAACAGTGGTCAGTCCATAGGATCATCCAGCTTAATGGAGAAATCCGGCAGCAGTTTTCAAAGTCTGTTCTAAGAACAGATTATTGCTGAATACAGTTCGCATGATCTATATTCTAGTTGGGGTGATTTAAAAATTGCCCTAAGGCCAGAGACTCAGCCACCTCTGGTTTTAAAACAAAAATACTTAGTGCACAAAAGCAGAAGAAACAATTGTACAACTTCATCTGGAAATCAGACAGGTTCTAATTTCTACAGAAATTATATCTCCCTGGAGCAGAGAACAGGCGACCATCTACTGCTTTGATTTCAGAAGACAGGTACCTGCTGTTGCCTCCACAGCCAGGCCTCAACAGGGACAAACTGATGGTCTTAAAAATGCCCATATGATTAGAAATTTTGCGTGGCCTCAGACCCTGCATCTTAGATTTTCCCAGCAGAGTGGCTAGTGTTCATTTCTGGCTGAAGAAGAATCTCCACGACCAGTTCAGAACTGCACCTGTCCTCATGCACTGCGGTGTGGGGGCAGCAGACCCTCTGCTTTCCCTCACGGTCCTCGGCCTCGGTGAGCCCCAAGGCTCACAGCCGCAGGGTGCCAAGAGGACTGTTATAGACCGAGGCGCTTTGGGAGCTGCCGTGCCTGGAACAAACCTTCAAGCAGGACTACGGTGGGGATGAAATGTCTTATAAAGAGTGTGAAATGAGAAATTTACAGTCCGTTCCCTCTAGTGGAAAGCATGCACGCGTGGAGCCTGGTGGTGCACACTGTTCCCTGGAGCCCACCGCTGGCTCCCAGCTCTTCATATGGGCTTGTATAGCAAGGTGGTGACATACTTTTTCTTGTACCGGTGGGTCGCGCTGAGCACCATCACTCCATCCTGAGGAAGAGGGTGGAAATGATCAAAGGTGGTACCAAGTCAAGAGCTCAAACTTTAGTGTGTGTGTGTGTGTGTGTGTGTGAAGCATCAAGAGGGCTTAATAAAAACACTCTTGTTCTGCCTTCAGAACCCGAGCCTGTGGATCTGCACCAGGCCCCAGGAGCTGCCCTTTAGATAAGCACTCCAAGTAATTCTGTTGCTAGGGGGCCTCACAGCACACTTTGAGAAACACAGCTCTACCAGCAACAGAAGTGTCATTACCTTGATAGAGAGTGCATAAAGGTGGTTCAACATGACGTGGTTGGGCTCGGGGAGCAAAGCTGGATCACACTGTTGGAGAAACAAAAGCAGACATGAGCATCTAGGACTTGGAAATCAAGAAGATTCTCCCTTTATTTCACAGCACCAGGTATCAATGGAAAGGAGGCAGGCTCTCATGCCCCTTTCTGCTTAAGTTGGGTAGTGAAAGACTGATCTGACAGGTGAGGTGAGGTGAGGGGGTCATGCTTTATGGTCTAAGGGGAGCTCCCTGCATGCCTGTTGGATGCACTGGTGTGTCTCCAGTCAGGCTTTACCTTGGCCTCTAGTGGGCCACAGCTATCTTCTTATTGAAAGAGAAGAAGAGAGAGCCGTCCAATGAATACACTTTTAGAGAGAGCGGGAAGATAAATCTATACTAAACATTCCTGAGCAGTGGGCTGCAAGCTCATGTCTGTAGGATTCAGAAAGCATGAAGAATGAAATGGATAACTGTGGAGGGACGGAGGGGAGGCCACCCGGTGCCTGGGAAACCATGTCCCAGGGCAAACCACAACCGCTGCAGGAGACGCCTGCACACGGATGCTTTTGGCTCTTCATCGTAGCACACGCGTACCCGCTTGTATGTGGAGTCCACAAGCAGCATGGCTGCTTTATCACCTCATAAACATGGGACTTTCAGGGGGTGGCTTGGACAAAGCACAAGAACACTCAGATTCCCAAGAATTAGGGCTGTGCTGCGCATGTTTAGTGAAACGGAATGGAAAATTAACAAGGTAATAATGGGGTGCTCTTCAGGATCCTGGAGGACACATACTTCTTTTTACGAATAATATCAATTTCCCAGAGAAAATGTGTGTCAGCCAGATCTCCCAAGTTTTAATCCGAGAGCACTGACATTTCTGAAAACAATTTGGTGATTAAGAGTAGATACTGAAGTCTGGGGGCCAGAGGAGGAGTTCCACTAAGTAGCTTACCGACAAGGAATGGTTATAGATTTCTCGTCATGTTTCACAAGGAATGGGGCTTAGGTTGAGGCAAGAGTGAAGCACTAGGAAAACAAGTTCAGAAAGGCTTTGTGCAACGGGAGAGCAGCACTCTGTTCCAGCACTCTGGAACATCTCACCGGTAGCCCATTCCCACATCAGAGGGGGACCCTGGCAGTTGACACCAACGGGCAACACTGAAACCTTTTTCCCAGCCGCTTCCGAGAGGCAGTTGGAAAGGGGAGCAGCACAACAGGACGGTGGAGGATGGTCTGGACAGACACCTGTGTACTCACAGAAATCCCCGTGTCCTTGTTCAGGATGACCTGGAGCAGATGTGGAGGGAGAATGGGTGGTGCCTTAAACCGTTCTTCTGGTTTTGAGACATAGGGTTCCTGATGGTAGGGTCCTGGTGGGGAGCTGGACAGCTCTGTCGGGAGATGGTGACAGGACATTTACTTTGAAAATTATGAGGTCTAGGAGCAGTCTCACTGAATTTATGGCACCGTTCAGTTTTCCTCGTCCCCTCAACACAGATTTATATTCCCTTGAAGAATATATATAGGCCCCAAGGGTGAAGAGTAGAGGCAATGAGAAAACTCTTCTGGAATTTGGGTGACTGGCATAAAATTCAGCATGAACTCAGATGCCCTGGCAGCAGATAGCGGTGGTGGCAAAGCTGGTGATTCTGGGTCAGACTAACAAGGAAGCTGCTCTCAGTAACCTAACCTGACATGCCCTGCAGAACAATGCTGCTCGCCTTGGGCTGGGCTGGCAAATACCACAAAGACGCTCAGGGCTTCAAGCGAGGCTTAAGCAGCTAAGCCCAAGGTCTGAGCACCACCAGCCAGAATAAAATGGAAGATAGTGCAGCCTGTTTATAGACACAGTGGTGAAAACAAGTTATATGAGGCATTGGCACATTTCAAAACTAAAACCAAAAATAAAAAATTGATAAATCTAATCTCTACAGGCTCTTTGACTCCACCACTCTCAGGTTCCTTTCAAACGCTTGCTTGTCTTGATTATACAGATATTAAGAAGCTTCTGGAGGGGCGCCTGGGTGGCTCAGTTGGTTAAGCGTCCAACTTCGGCTCAGGTCATCATCTCACGGTCCGTGAGTTCGAGCCCCGCATCGGGCTCTGTGCTGACAGCTCAGAGCCTGGAGCCTGCTTCAGATTCTGTGTCTCCCTCTCTCTCTGACCCACCCCCATTCACGCTCTCTGTCTCAAAAAATAAACAAACATTAAAAAAAAAATTTTTTTTTTAAAAAAGAAGCTTCTGGAAGTGCAGCATTTCATAAGGTCAGAGGTAGCTCACTTAGTGATGTCTGACCAGCTGGAAAGGACTGAGCTGTTGTCAAAGGACACGTAGGATGGGTCCTGGCCACCAAATCCTTGGGCGGAAGATTAAACCTGATGTGCCCCCGCTCTGCCAATTCCCTCAACATCACTTTCTAGGGTACAGGCTCACTTCGTATGCCCCAACCATATGACAGCAGGAAATGGAGAAAAACAAGCGTAGAAAACTGAGCCAATAGGAGTAAATACATATTTTAAGAAAATGAGTATCTAAATATGAGGTCTATGGAGAGCCTGATGTTGGTTTACCAACAGTTAGGGGCCAGTTTTCTTTCCCCAGGTGGTCTATGCTGCAGAAACTTGACTAAAAGCTTTGGTATGTGGCCTAAAGTTACATTTATCAGTAAGTGGGGGATACTTGGGCATTTTCTCCATCCTCCTATTCCCACCTATCTGACAAAGAAATAAATGGCTTCTCTAAAAGATTTGTTAGCTATCCAGAAAGAAGAACACTATTTTGGGATTTCCAACTCCTGCTCAACAAGCTGGCTTTTCAGCCACAGCAAGCCCGCCATGGTCAATTTACCACTGTGGTTTCTGAGGTGATAAGAGTAAGAGATCATGGGGGCAGAAGCTCCAGGCCCAGCCAGCTGACAATGAAGAATCATCCTGCAAACTGCACGGAACCTGTCTTCTTAGACTATCAGGTCCCATCCTGGACAATCTTTTCACTGCCTCCCACAGGGGTCCAAGGAATTGTTTACACTCCTGCGAAAAGGGGCAGTGGAGTTGGCACTGATGCCTTAGATTACATAACATCACTGCCCCTGAATTGTATGTATTACGTTGCTTCCTGTGGATTTGGATGAAAAGCAATTAATTGAAAGCTTGAGGCCTGGCTGACTCTTGCAAAGTTCTTTAAGGATGGTACCGAGCAGGTTGTGCAGTTAGCCGGTTTCCTGTGGTTAGCCTCTTTCTCCCCACAAAGGGATTCTGGCAAGGTGCTAATATGCCATGTAAGTGACGGCCCAGATCACTGAAGTGTCCATTTATCACCTGTCAGGCTGAGACTCTCCTGACAGGGTCGTCAGTAGGCAGGGAGCTGGCAGGCTCCCCCCGAGCTGGCTCATCACTGACCCAGTGCAACTTCCCAGGGCCTCTTGGCCCTGCCCCTGGCACGAGATCAAGCTCTGGTTCTGCTTCCACCATCTGCTCTCTGTGGCTAAGCAGGCCTACTGAATACTGGAGATGACCAAAAAAATGCCTTACAGCTCCCTTGGGGCTAGATTTCAACAACCTGACCTGACAGAGTTAGGAATCACTTTTGTGGCTCTTTAGGGAGCTACAAACATCCACATGACAGGGCAGCTCAAGCTCAAGAGTGAGAGGCAAGAGAAACAGGACTATTTCTACACTGCACAGCCCCACCTGCACACACGTGGTATAAAGTAACTGTGTTCATACCAGACACATCGGAGCACTTTTGGGAATCCACCATTAAAGCATCAAATACTTCAAAGTCAGTTTTCTTCACTTGAATGATGTTGTTAACTGTGCCAAGCTGGCTGGTTACTATTGGCTGGGAAGAGACAGACAGGCAGAAATCATAATGTGGAAGGTCTCTGGAGTTATTCTTTAGAGGATTTAGAATTCCTGGCTGGAAGGTCTCATCTCCTGGCTGGCCAACCTGCTCATCTCCATCAAGTTTGCCCATAAGTCTGACAATTAACACTGCCATCTAGCTAAGCCACACACAGCGACTTTTACCAGCAGGACAAGGAGACCTGGCAACAATTGGTAGAGGGAAGTGAGCTGTTAGGATTGTGAAGGCAGTCAGAGGACCAAGGGCAGGAGGAAGAGTACCTCAGAAGGGTCATGTGTCCACTGACCATCCACAAAGAACTTGTACTGATGCTCTCCTTCAGGCAGGTCCAGGATGGCTACAAAGTTATTGTGGCTGCAACGAAAAAGGAAGCAGAGGATTTCAGCTGGGTGAGCTGCCCACTTAAGCTTACTTACAAAACTGGCCATGGGACGAAACCAAACCTTTGTGTGTAAAGAGTTTAGCTGCAAAAGAATAAACATTTTTAACCACTGTAGGCAATTCAGTATAATGACCTCAATCTAGAAAAGCCGTAAGAAAGCAGCATTGCAAGAGGTTTCCTTAAGGACTCACTTTGGTCAAATGCCAGGAATCCACATTCCTACCATCAAAAGGTCAACAAACAGGCATTTGTCCTTTTCAACTTGCCCGCAAAATACCACTTGGCATCTGGGAGGCCAAAGAGGACAGCAACTCAAGATAAACTGCACGCTGCCGAGTTTTACTGTCAGTCTGCCTTGGGCAGGAGACGGGATCAGTTTCCCAAGAACCACAAACAGGTCTCTAAAGAAGCTTGCTTAACGTCTAAAACAAGGTTCCAGGAAAGCTTTTTGCTTGAAATGACTCTAACTGTGCTGAGTGTCCCCCTCCTATACCCACATTACCAGCGGAAAAGCAGGCGGCCTGTGACCGTGATCAGGCCACACCCAGCAGGGCACAATTTCTCCTTTTGTTTCATCAAGAGTACTCACTAGTGAAGATGGTTTTTCACTGACTATTTGAGACAGAAGTCAGTGCTAGGATTCCTGATCAAGGGTTTTACCGTGGTCTTGCTAATGATGCCTAAATAACAGGTACCTTCCAAACAAAGGCAATACAAAGAGTGTCAAAGTTTAGAAGGAACTTCAGAGATTTTCTGTCTAATGTTCCCTTCTTATAGTCAGGAACACTGAGGCTCAGGTGTTACCAACAGGTTAGCTTAGTCAACATGGACCCAAATTCTGGGCTTGAAGATTCCCAGCCCAGTGTTCTCTCTCCACTGCACTAGAAATAGATTTCTCATTCTGAGGAAGAAGTCTTGCCTAAGCAAACCTATCTGAAGTCAAAGATGTCTGTGAGATACTCATAACTGAGAAGCGTTTTCTCCTAAGTGTGCTCTAAACCTAGAGTCTAACTGGGTATGAGATTTGAACCCTGTGAATCATTAAGCAAGATTATTTTCCATTCAGCATCCATTTTATAAAAACATCCTTTTCTATTCCTCTGCAGAAACCAGTTAGAAACCAGAGTATCTATCCCTGGATTAAGACAAATATGTGAATATTGCCCAGGCAATTACCTTCTCGTGAGGGGAAGTTTACTCCAGTTGTTGAAGGACCCGGATAAGTAAACTTCCTTTCCGCCTCCCGTCCATCGAAATACTGTTGGCCGAGCCTGGGCAGGGGCTTTATCATTCACTTCCAGATCATGCTGCCAAGCCAGGAATTCTTCCTTCTCTGGAGCCTAGAAAGGGAACAGTTTACTCAGGGACAGGAAGCCATCAGTGGGCTCCCTGCAACACACAGTTACCCTGTCTAGTCTTCTAAAAAAGAGGCAGTGATGACTACTTAGGTTCATTTTCAAACTCATTAACTAACAGCTCTGCCTTGGTTTCCCCACTGCAAGATTAAAATAACAAAAACAACTATTTCTTAAGGTTGTTGTGAAAGACTGAGACAGTCCGTGTAAAATGCTCTGCATTAATGTCTGACATGTAGTAAGTACTTAATAATTACAAGCTGTTAATACTGTTTTTAAAGAGATCTACATCAAAATTTTAGGAGAAACTACAGAACTCACTTGGAAGCGGGTACAATGAATTCAAGACTAGCTTGACAAATGTCATTTTCTTCCCTGAATTAACAAGATTCAAAGTATGTGAAAATTTATTAGAGACAATTCCAGAGCTGTCAACTTGAAGCTCACAAATCCAGATTCTAAGGGAAAAAATATTCACAAAGTGCTATCCAGGCACCGGGGAGAAAAAGGTAAGACAAAGACTGACCCTCCTTATGGCAAACAATAACTTCAGGCACGGGAAGTAATGTATAACTGAGGTATTCCAAAATAAGGGAGAAATAAACACAGCCAACTCTGGTTGAAATATATGTGGTTTTAGATCCTTTTACACATTTCCTAGTCAGAAGCCAAAGACATTAAAAGAGCAGGAGTTCCAGGCTGGGAGAGACCTTTAAAGGTGTCATTGAGCAGGGGCACCTGGGTGGCTCAGTTGGTTGAGCGTCCAACTTTGGCTCAGGCTCTACGATCTCATGGTTTGTGGGTTCAAGCCCTGTGTTGGGCTCTGTGCTGACAGCTCAGAGCCTGCTTAGGATTCTCGCTCTCTCCTCTCTCAGTCCCTCCTCGACTTGCGCTTTCTCTCAAAAAAAAAAAAAAAAAAAAAA